ATTCCATTCTATTCTATTCTCTGTTCCTAATTCTTATTTCTATTCTATTCTATTCTCTATTCCTAATTCTTAGTTCTATTCTATTCCATTCTATTCCATTCTATATTCTCCTCTACATTCTACTCCATTCCATTCCATTCCATTCCATTCTAACCTATTCTATTCTTCTATATTTTATTCTATTCTAACTATTCCATTCCATTCCATTCCATTCCATTCCATTCTAACCTATTCTATTCTTCTATATTTTATTCTATTCTAACTATTCCATTCCATTCCAATTCTATTCTATTCTAATTCTATTCAATTCAATTCTAATTCTATTCTATCCTTCCCTCCCACCCCCGTGGAGAGGGACGCGCAAGCGCGGGCTGCCGCCCCTCCCTCTGAGTCAAGCCCCTCCCCTTTCAAAATCCACAGCTGGCGGTGGAGGGAGGGAGGGAGGAGGGAGGGGGGACGGCAGTGGGAACAGTAGGTGGATCGGAGCCGGAGAGCGGCTGCTGGCGAGCGAGGTGAGGCTGGGGGAGCCGGGGAGCCAGGACGGCTGGAGCAGCGTCGGCCGAGGGTGGGGAGGGGGGCTGCGGCGACCGCGGGCGCCCTCTTGCAAAGCCAGAGCTCCTTCCGCCGTTCCCTGGTTGCAAGAAGACGCGGCTTAAAGCTCGCGGAAAGCGGGAGGCTGCCGTGTGCTTGGCTAGGTTGGGGGGGGGACCGACTGGTTCCAGACATGCACGCCCAGCTCTTGCAGGCAGATCGGGGGTGCAGGGATCCCCCGGAGATCTCTTCGATCCTCCCTCCCCGCTTTCCTCCTCCTCCTCCTCCTCCCTTGCTTGTTTTTCTTGGGGTCTCAATCTTGCAACACTGGGTTTCGTTGCTTCTTTTTTTTGGGGGGTGGTCTCTGCTCCGGGGCTGGGCTGGTGCAATTGTGGCTTGCAAAAACATACAAACCACGGGCAATCCTGGCTTGTAAAGAAAGCCGCTTTGGTTTTCCCCTCGGGGCTTCCGGACAAAAGAATGGTGAGATTGCAGCTCGCAGGTGTAGCGAATGGAGGTTAAAGGGAGAAAAATAAACGGGATTTGTGGGGAGACGTTGGCTTCTCTCCTTTTAAAGGAATATTTGCCCCTTCATTAGCTTGGGCAGGATTCTGCTTTTCTCTTTTCCCCCTTACTTTTTCATTCAAGTTTCTAGTCCCTGGGGCAAAAGTGGGAGGGGAGAGGTTGTATGGCCAGGAGAAACAAAGGGAAGCTGTTGGAACTAGCCTCCACCTCCTCCTTCTCCTTCCAAGAAATTCCCTAGTTTCTTTCGGACAAACAACCTCTCCCTGCCACCACTTTTGCCCCAGGAACTAGAAACTTGAATGAAAAAGTAAGGAAAAGCCAAGAAGTCTTAAAAGGCCAGTCGCTGGATTGGAATAGAGCAGCTTTAAGACTTGTGGACTTCAACTCCCAGAATTCCTCCTCCAGTACTGTTAGCTCAGGAATTCTGGGAGTTTGAAGTCCACAAGTCTTAAACTTGCCAAGATGGAAGACCCTTGGGATAGATAGATAGAGAGAGAGAGAGAGAGAGAGAGAGAGATACTGGAGATCAGGGGTCTTCAAACTTGATAGCTTTAAGTCTGGTGGACTTCAACTCCCAGTATTCCTCCTCCAGTCCTGTTAGCTCAGGAATTCTGGGAGTTTGAAGTCCACAAATCTTAAACTTGCCAAGATGGAAGACCCTTGGGATAGAGAGTGAGAGAGAGAGAGAGAGAGAGAGAGAGAGATACTGCAGATCAGGGGTCTTCAAACTTGACAGCTTTAAGACTGGTGGACTTCAACTCCCAGAATTCCTCCTCCAGGCATGTTAGCTCAGGAATTCTGGGAGTTTTAAGTCTACAAGTCTTAAACTTGCTTAAGTTTGAAGACCCTTGGAATAGAATAACAGAGATGGAAGGTACTTTGGAGGTCTTGTAGTCCAACCCCCTGCTTAGGCAGGAAACCCTACACCACTTCAGACAAACGGTTATCCAACATCTTTTTAAAAACTTCCAATGTTGGAGCATTCACAACTTCTGTTGGCAACATTGTTCCACCGATTAATTGTTCTAACTGTCAGGAAATTTTCCTTAGTTCTAGGTTGCTTCTTCTACCTGGATTAGTTTCCACCCATCGCTTCTTGTCCTGCCTCTTCAAGTGTTTTGGAGAATAGCTTGACTCCTTCTTCTTTGGGTCAGCCCCTGAGATTGGAGAAGACATTTTTAAAAAGACCCCCTTCCTAAACTTAGGTTTGCTTTGGCTGGACTGATCCTTTCGGTAAACTGGGATTTCTTTTTTTTTTATAAACTCCGGTGGACCAGCTTTAGCCCTGGAAAATCACAATGGGGCTTGATGCGTTATGTGAGATCAGTTGTGGAGTTCTGGCTTCGATGTTAAATAGAACAGAACAGAATAGAATAGAATAGAATAGAATTCTTTTATTGGCCAAGTGTGATTGGACACACAAGGAATTTGTCTCGGTGCAAATGCTCTCAGTGTGCATAAAAGAAAAGAGACATTCATCAAGAGTCAAGAATCATCAGGTACAACACTTTCTTCCTGATCTTGAAAAGTTAGCTCTCTCTTCTCCCTTTCTCCTTTTCCAACTTTTTTAGAATAGAATTGGAATTCTTTATTGGCCAAGTGTGGTTGGACACGTAAGGAATTTGTCCTGGTGCAAAGGCTCTCAGTGTCCATAAAAAAGAAAAGATACATTCGCCAAGAGTCAAGAATCATAACACTTAATAATAATAAATGGGGGAATGGGTCCCTAACTTCCCATTTGACTGTTTTTGTAACTTAGTTCCTCTTCTTCAAAGGCGATCATTGCTTTATTGTTTCGTTTCTCTGAACTCTTCCCTAAAATTTTGCCAAGTTTCTAGAACTGGTGAGCTAAAAAAAACATCAAGGATGTAGCTCAAAGTAACATAATAGTGGCAACATTAAAAAACGAGAAAGGAGGTTAAGTCATGGAAGAGTATAACTCAGTATAAATGGGTGAATTATTATTGGAATCGCCTAAATCTGTTAAACATTACGTGTACGATTAATAATATTCTATCTGTAGCAAAAGGGGCTTATTTACAATATGGAGATTGATACAAAAATAAGAGACTGAAATGGTGAATAATCCAAATGATATACGTGTAAATAATATGAAAACGTATAAGGTTGTCAGTTGTATTGAATATGAACAATGTTGTCGTATTTGTTTTAGAATGTAAGGCACTCTGGTACCACACTGTCCATACAATGATATGGTTGCAAACAAGAAAAAAAATAAAAAATTATATAACCTCAAGGTCCCTTCCCACTTTGGTTATTCTGTGTTTTCAGCCTTGGCACTTCTACTTCCAGAATTCTGGGAATTGAAGTCCACTCGTCTTGAGAAATACTGATGTAGATAGATGATTTAGGAAGACCTTGTAAAAGACTTGTCAATCAAAGGGATGGGATTTACTCTTCTTGATGGGAGGTTTTTACACGAAGGTTGGCTACTCATTGTCGGGGATGCTGTTAGGGAATCCTGTATGCAAGGGGCTGGACTTGATGGCCTTTGAGGTCCTTCCAACTCTTTAGTTACTAGGAGACATTTCAAAGAGGTTGCCAAAAGAGTGGTGATGGGAGAAAAAAAATAGGATAAACCGCTTCAGGTCTCTGAAGTAGATGAGAGAGAAAGGAAGTTCAAAAGCTAATATAAATATGAAATATAAATAAATTTGATTTTCTTTCAGACTATTCTGCTTTTAAGATGCAGTTAGGCAGATTCCAACTATGTTCATGTATGTATGTATGTATGTATGTATGGTATTCGGCTTTGTTCGGGTATTTTCCCACGTCATTGTAGTTGTGCTTTTAAAGTTGTAGCAACGTTTCGGCAGAATCTCATCTGCCATCATCAGGCTTCTGTATTGTGTTTGTCGAGTACAGACGAACACAATACAGAACACAGTACAGATGAACACAATACAGAAGCCTGATGATGGCAGATGAGATTCTGCCAAAACGTTGCTACAACTTTAAAAGCACAACTATAATGACGTGGGAAAATACCCGAACAAAGCCGAATACCATACATGTAAGTACCCGCGAAAACTTAAGAAAACACACACACACACACACACACACACACACATACACATACATACATACTGGCCAATGGGTGTGATGGGCTATCCAATATTTTATAGATGCCTATGGGCAGAAGCTAGACAGAATTTTGATGGGCAGCCATTCACTTTGATTCCTGTTGAGCAGGAGGGTGGATTAAATGGCCTCTCAGAACCCCATTCAGCCTTAAGAGCCTGTGTTTTGCAGGCATGCAATCTCTTCTTCATGAAACATCAAGTTTTTGCAGGGTTGAATGTGTTCTCGGAGGCAGCCGGCTGGTGGCATGAATAAACAGGCACACAATTTTGAATGGAATCGGGGTTGAAATAGGAAGTGCTGGTGGACTTCAACTTTCTGTCACTAAGCAGGGCTGTTGTTAAATGAGCCGTGCCTGATTTTACAACCTTTTTGCCATGGTGGTTTAAGCGAATCACTACACTTACGTGATTCATGTGCATGTTAAGCGAGTCCGCTTCCCTCATTGACTTCGTTTTAGTGAGCGAATCATGCGTCCATTCACTGAATGTTAATTTGCCCCATTGATTCTGCTTGTCAGAAGCCGGCTGGGCACAAATTGGGATCACGTGACTCCAGGATGTTGTAACTGTTTGTGAAGATATGTTGGTTTCCAAGCGCCCAAGTTTTGATCATGTGGCTGTGAGGAGGCTGAGATGGTCATAAGTGCGAGGATTGATCCCCTCCCCCATGCTGTTGTAACTTTGAATAGTCACTAAACAAATGATTGTAAGTCAAAGACTACAGGGGTGGGGTTCGAATTTTTTAACAACCGGCTCAATGGGCGGGGCTAGGTGGGCGGGGCCTTGTGACTGGGTGGGTGTGGCTTCTTCTTTTTTGCAGCCCCTGGGCCTCAGGGCAGCCTCCTGGGCGAAGCACTAAGACAGCGAGGGGGATTCCGGCACAGCTGATCATCGGAACAGCTGATCGTCAGGAGAGGAGAAAAATACTTAAGGAGTGACTGGGCAGGGGAGGTGATGTCAGGCATGCGCGCGATGTTGCGCATGCACAATAAGGACTGACTGGTCAGGGAGGGGCAGAGGGGGCGGGGCCAGCCAGGGGCACGATCGGCCGGTTCTCCGAACTGCACAGAATCATAACAACCAGTTGAAGCAGCTTTCAGAAAAGATGTTTTATGTTTTGTATGTTTGTGTATTGTTTTTGAAAGGCAATAAAATTTTAATTAGTAAGAAATATAATTTGGATAATAGAATGATAAGAAGAAGTTGGGATAAGATATGAAGTTGAGCAGATAACGTAAATATATATATTATAATTTGGAACTATTTTGTATGTTCTACTGGTTTGTTTACAAAAGATCTTTTATGTTATTACGCCTTGATTGTTTGTGTATTGTTCTGTAAAGTTAATAAAATTTGTCTTAAAAAACAACAACAACCAGTTCTATAGAACCGGTCCAAACCAGTA